GTGTGTGTGTGTGTGTGTGTGTGTGTGTGTGTGTTTGTAATGTATGTGTGTATAGAGATATCCATATACATATGTTTTGTCATGTGCATCGTCAGTTCATATACGTGTCTGGCAAATATATAATGTCTGAAGCAATACTTATATGCATACTCGAATATTTCAATCGCTCGATATGACACTTCCAAACATCATCGACATCCTTTGTGATAGCTAATATTGTGTGATATCATCTCGAATTGGTTATGTCTAATAGTTGTAGATTCTAGCTTTCAGTTGCTGACACAACTTGCAGCTATCTTGATTTCTAACGATTGTCAGGCGACTCAGGTTTGAGAAAACCACCAGATCTATACTTACATAAGCATACTGATCTGTACGTAAGAAAACTACAAAAGACTCTCTGTATCAATTTATCACAGGAACACAATACTACACAGACATATTAATATCCAGACAACTATTTACGTATCATCTGAGCGCAAGCGCAAGTATACCGGTCAATGTCTGGAGCCATTCCACAGCCTCTCTCTCCAAATTCGTATCATATTTGGCCTCCATCTTCGCAGCCAAATCGGCATCGAGACCGAAAACTTCAGTTTGGTTGCTCATGATGATGTTGTTTGACAAGGGTGTCTTGACTGTTTTCATTAACTTCGGGCTTCACGTATTTAGCCGTTAGTTAGAATCGATGATGTGAACCAGTGTCCACTATCCAACGACTATGAAGTAAATACATAGCATCCAACTGTTCGACATTCTTGGGTTTAAGGTTTTTACTTTTTAGGCAGTTTATGTGTATATACATAGATCACAAAAGAGCTGAGTGACGATGTAAAAAATAAAGCACCAAAAAGACAAAGTATGTGGCCCATCGATATCTCGGATCTCCGCAGTCCACACCACTGTTACGTGCATATGTATCGATACGCCAATTGATATCCTGTATCAGACTCATCAGAAAATTATACCTCAGTCATATCATATGTCATCAGTATACGTTCCTGGTCATTCCACTGATTCCAGCCATTCATATTGATGGCGCCTGTGGGGTGTGGCAAACCCTGAACCTTTGTATTAATGGATCCTGGATTGGACAATATGCGAATGGTCAACGTACTGCCGAAGCTGTCATTACGTACGACTGATACCCACTCTTTCGTCTACACTCAATTCCTTGTCAATCCGTCGCCATTGAAATGAACTTAAAATATCTTACTTGTGTTTGACTGTACGTACCACGGTCATGGATTGTATTTATATGCCGTATAATATATGTAGTTGTGTATGGACAATTGGACACATGTGTATGTACTACACCTTGCAGCCACAGGTGAGATTAATATTATATATATGTATGACTTCATGTACGTATTTGAATTCGATAACAGATCCGTCTCTCACCGTCTCATGAATCACGAGTCCTGACTCACGAGAGTGACCACTTTTCACTTTTGTTTCAAAAAGCCAAAAGGCAAGCCTGAGCCCTGAGCCCTGATAGTGACGAGTAATTCGGTGATTCCTGCAGCCAGTCGCACTTTTTATAGCGCTGACTCGCTGAGTGCCTGCGTCCGACTATCTCTCTGCATATTGTGATTGTATTGGTCTATTCCAAATTTCCAACCACGCTCGAGGGCCTAGGCCACTCTTACTCCACAAAACGGATATTGTATTCCAACAAGGGACTCCTGGAGTATGGAGTGGACTCTGGACTCCTGGAGTCTGGAATCTTGTGGAGCCGCTGTGGACAGGCATATTTACTATTTAGGTATTTTATATTTACTGTTTTAACTTTTACATCCCGGCGTAGATACTGTGACCCTGATACTAGTACCAACAAGCCACAGGCCCACAGCGGCCAGCAGGGGAAAAGAGGGCAAGTGGTGTGTTCTAGCTCCACACACTATTATCCAGCGAGCAAAAGACACCACAACCTGTCCAAGGCAATATTATATATTTATTAGACAGCCACGTGTGTTGGCATGTAGCGTATTTACACACAAAGTTGTAGCTCGCTACATACTAGCAACGAAGTCGCGATATTGCTAGCGACAGCGCCATGTCGGATTGCGCTGCGACCGACGACGACTCGGCAGTACCATCGCTAGAGCAGTCGTCTGAGCAGGATTCTGGGCCAGCGTATGTGGTTGACAAACAAAATCAGTTCCGGGAAATGGCTTCGGGTGATATGGGAGACGGTATGCGTGGTTTGGGTGGTTTAGATGTACCGATAAGTAATAAGGGTCAAGCACCCGGCAAGAATACACCGTCTGTTTCGGAAAGGAAACGGCTGGACGGCAGCTCAGACCCCACCGTTAACTACGAACAACTGACCGGCGAACCGAGTGGTACTAGTCTAATGGGCTCTGATGCCATGCAAGGGCGCAGTCCAGCAGTTTATAAGGTACATTCACTATTTGTCTTTAGTCCTTCGAGCGGAAATACGGCTATTTTGATGTAGATTTATAAATAGAGGGATTGCTGTGTTAGGGCGTGTGTACATGCCTATGTTGCGAGGGCTCATCTGTCCGTCGCGCACTACCTTAAACGTGACAAGAGAACTCGTATGTGTTTTTCGACTTACCGATAATACATACGTACACACACACACACATACATACACACACACATACACACACACACATATATATATATATATATATATATATATATATACTAATGTGTGTGTGTGTGTGTGTGTGTGTGTATATATATA